CGCGTCCCACGAAGGCCGCGAGCAGCGGGCGGGGGCGCGAGTGTCCGTAGTATTTCCGCTTCGTTTATTGCTTTGTTTATTTTGCACGTACTGGGCATCGGCCCGGGTGTCCCAGGCAGTGTGGATTCTGGTTAATTCAGTTGCCGAGAGAAATGTCTCGATATTGGTGAAGACTTTGCCCGCTTGCACCAGAGAACTCTTTTTCTGTTGAGATTAGGATGTGTATTTAAGTTTTGTCTCCAAGAGCTGCTGCTCGACGTGCCTCAAGACACGTGCATTAATATCCCTCTATTCTGTTTGTTGCTTTTTAAGAAAATCGTGTTTCAGAGCAGGCTTCGGTATTGATTCTCTCACCTATCTGTAAATTCACTCAGTTTAATCACAAGTGTAACTGTGATGCTTTACTGCGTTTTGGTAACGAAACGAACTGTGCTCAAGCTTCTTGTTTTGACCTTCTTAAATGACTTCCTGATTTCTCTTTCTTCTAGGATTGGCAGCATTATAGGATCAGCGATCAAGAAAGTAATGGCAAAACCTTAGCTGCCAGTTCAAACGACTTCAGTGATCCAATTTACAAAGAAATTGCTATAACCAATGGTTATATCAACAGAATGACCAGAGAAGAGCTCAGAAGTAAACTTGCAGAATGCAAGCTTGAAACCAGGTTAGACTTATTTGTAAACATCTTGATTTATCTTTGAGAGCAGTAGAGCTATGAGGGATAATTATTTTAAAGTTTAAAAACTCGACACAAAGTGAAAAGCAGACATAGCACCAGACACCAGTTGTTTTGTGTGCAATCCTGATGCAGCTTTTGTTGTTGGATCGATTAATGCATACTGTTTAATGTATGGCAACTGGCAACCCAAAGAAATGCAAGAATTACRTAACTGTAAGGTGCTTCTTACCGCTTTTTGGTCAAGGGGGAAAGAAGAGCTGCAGTGTTCTCAGGTGGTGCTGCAGACCTTCATCATATAGAAACTTACTTCAGAACATCCATATTTTTATTTATTGTACCAGTACAGATCTGTACTTTCTACAAACCCTGTGATGGGGCTCAGGATTTAATCAATGCAGAGGATGGGTACCTTTAGATGAAGAGTTTGCTATTCTAAATACCTGTGATAGAATAATGTGGAAAAATGAGTGTATTACAGACTGGATTTGTGCTGACTGGAGTGGAGGTAAGGGACTATAGTGTGGTTCCTGCTGTATTGGAAATTACCTACAAGACTAATTCTGTGKCCAGACAAATTTGAGATACTGTGAAGAAGGTTAACTGGAAAAAATGAAGTTTATTGTTTCTGTAGGCAGCAGTAATAAAGAAGTAGTTGTGGGGAATTAGTTGGTTAAATTAATTTAGTACAGCAGAGGGAATGATTTTTTCTCATTACCTGAGAAAATTCTTGGTAAGGCACATTAGATTTCTATATTTGTTTAGCAGTTGCTCTGATGTAAAAATAAAAAGCAGAATTCAAAAAGTGTATGATGTGTTTGTGGTTTTCTCTTAGGTTATAMGTTTTCTATATGTGTTTTTTAATTTACTTGTAAATGCTGAAAGCTTTAAATATCTCTTTCWCCCAAGCTAGACCTCTTTTGTCAATATATTAAATTAAGTCAGAATATGTCTTACCTGTAAACAAATAGTGCATCAACTCTAATGTAAAGAATTGAACAGATTGCCACACACCCCTTTTTTTTGAGGTTATTGGGATAGTCAGTCATCKCCTATTTTCAACTTTTTTATAAGTTTGATGAAGAAAGAGGTATATTTCCCCCTCCATCAGCTCCGATACTGTCTTGCCTTTGAATGGACTGGTCATTGACCATTAAACCAGAGTGAAGAAGAGTCATCTCTGCAGAAGCAGCTGATCCTCTCACATGCAGGTTTAGTAGTTTGATTCCAGTTCTTCCTTGTGGATCAGTGGGCTGCTTTTCTGATAATACCATTTGTTACATGTATCTCTTACAGCCTCTGTGATCTCATTTGCAGTGAATAATTTTGAAAATACCTTCCTTGGAAGAGTAAATTATCCTCCTTTATTCAGCTTTGGTTTGGTACATGGTAGTTCTGGCATATGCTCTCTCATATGTATTTTAATGTCTATATTAAAAGGATACAGTAAGTAACTCTAATCACTTGCCATGTGAATTTATTTATAGCCACAAACCTCCTGAAAAGCAGGTCCTTGACTAGGAAGTTTTCCTCACAACTGAAATCTCAATACTTCATTTTAATTGAGTTATTCAGTGAGCTCAATTTTAAATTTAAATTGAGAAGAGTTTAAAATGTGAGCATTTAAGCTGGATTCTGTGTTATCTATSCCAGTGATGCAGAAAGGCCTTGGGYATGAGTCACTTCAGTAGAGGGCAYAGGGGACTACAGGTGAAGCAGTACTTCTTCCAGGGCCAGAGTTCAGCTAGGAGTAATCTACAAAGACTTGAGCTTTGGAAAGGCTTTGGCTACTGAGTCTTGCTGAACTGGAGGTGACTGCAGAGTGTCTCTGTGCTGTACTTTGCACTCTGTCCCTAGTATTGTCTTGATGGGGTGGGTGTCACAGCCTCTGCTTTATGGCAGATAATGGGATATAATGTATCACAGGTAATGGGAATAACACTCTTCTATGATAAAGTGGAATTCAGGCTTCACAAGCGCTGGTGTTCAGAATGAGGTAAATAAGTGTTGAACTTTCAAATGTTAAATATGGCTTCAGTTCTACCACAAGGAAATAATTAAACAAGAGTGTGTTTTTGTCACTTTCCTTATTTCTTTAGAGGAGTGAAAGATGTACTGAAAAAGAGATTGAAAAACTATTATAAGAAACAGAAGCTGATGCAGAAGGAACACATTAGTGGAGACAGCTGCTATGACTACATCTGTGTTGTTGACTTTGAAGCAACATGTGAAGAAGGAAATCCACCTGAATTTGTACATGAAATAATTGAGTTTCCTGTTGTCTTAGTAAACACACATACCCTGGAAATAGTAAGTGGTCTAATTGCTGTTTTGGTATGCTGTTCTTTGATGTAACTTCTTTGCATCAGTAAGTATAGATAGTTTTTAAGTAGATGTTGAACTTCATTAAAAATAGCATTCTTTTTTTTTTCCATAAGGGCTTATCCTCTGTGCCTCTTAGGTACAAACAAAACTTTCCATTCTGAAAGTATTTTCCAAATGATCATCCAAACAGGTCATTCTCCTGCTGTGGACTCCCTCTATTGATATGAGTTTCTCAGTTGTCCGTGTCTGTTCCCACCTGCCCTTTCTTTCCCTACTTTAAGTTCCTCAGATCTATTTCTAGGACTCAAGGGATTCATCATAATCAAAAATTGTCTATTTCTGTGGTCCTCTGTGAGGCAATCTAGAAGACACCAATGCAGAGGTCTAGAAAGTGAGGTTGAGTGAAGTTCGCTTCTTGTCGGGCTTGACTGTGTCCACAAAGTATCCACAGGTTGACAGCTGTGTAACCTGATTGTAAACATATGTTGCAGGAATTTGGTGGCCTCAAGTGCTCTGTTCCAGTACAGCTTTCCTTTAGGATTAACTACTGGCTGTCTAACTGAAACTGAGGGACTCAGTGAAACAGAGGGCATGCACACGCCTCTGACCAATGGTTCATTTATGAAGACCTTTTAAGAGGATTTCTAGTAATCATTGTGATGATACATTAAAGTATAGCTGCATGTATGAGCAGCTTTATAACTGCAAAAAGAGGACTGTGCCAATTACCAGGATTGTTTTTATTGCTCTGAGACTGGGGTTTTTTTTCTGTCCCAAAAGATTTTGCATGGCAGCGGGGATTTGGGGGTTTGTTTTTTCCATTAAACTTGCCTGCAGTCTTCACTCTTGTATTGCTCAGGTTTCCAGAGTGAGGTTTTGTTTGTGTGGTTGGCATCCAGAGGTGTAAGACCTGCATGAAGCCTCTGAGGTGTGTGGCTGGTTCTTTCCTTGAATTGCAGGTGAACCTGTAGAGATACTACATAAAAAACATAAGGCTTTGCTCATGCCTTTCACTTCTTTTTTCCTTTCTCACCCTCTTTTCCCAAATCTTCTTCTTTTTTGCAGTCTGTCCTTTTCCCCTCTTAAATCCACATTCCCACTCTTTGGTGCCTGCTGGCTGAGGGGAATGACATGTTCTGGTTGGAATGCTCTCTGTCCTGTTAGGAATCTGATGATGGCCGTCAGGAGGCTCACACTGGCTCAGGAGATGCACAGTGGTTTTTGCCTGCAGCAGGACAAGCAGCTGCTGTTGCCTTTGGGCTGCAGGCAAGCCAGAGAAGTTGCCCTGTGGGCTTCGTAGTGTGCTGGAGCTGAGCATTTGATTCTCCTGTTACAGGAGGATACCTTTCAGCAATATGTGAAGCCGGAGATTAATCCCAAGCTTTCAAACTTCTGCATCAGTCTGACAGGAATAACCCAGGTAATTTGCACTTTCATTTCCTCAGGAAAAAAACAGGGAAAAAAAGAGATGTGGTGTTGATGTTTTCAGATTGATAATCTTAAATKGTAGTCTTTCATTATTATTTTTCTGTAAGGGCTATTATTTTAATCCTTGTTTTTTTCCCCTCTCCCWATTATCATAGAATTGATTTCACTAAATAGGTCATTTTGTGGGAAGAAGTATTCACTTTTTRATTCAGATGGAGAAATTTCATCTTTARAGCAAAGCAYCTTTTGAATTGCATCAGTTCCWCTTCTAAGATTTTTATTCTAAAGAGTTTAGAGTCTTAGGATGGCAGTGGCTTGTGATAAGTGACTTAAGCAGGARTCGGAAACAGCCTCAAAGGTTTTAATCCAAGTTCAACTGCTGACTAACCTTGTTACCTTTACARAAGCTATTAAGAGGTTGACTCTTCTAGTGGTGCTTTTGGGGTGCTATTTTTTCAGTTTAGAAAAATCTTTCCAGTCATCTGTTAACATGTAATCTGGTTTTCTAAAGATCTTGATGAAGCCAACTTTGTAAGCGCCCATATACCAATACCGTTTTTATACGCTTAATGCTGATTTGGGTTTTTTTTTCCCTGAAAAAATGTTCCTTACTTTGTTTTTGGGTTTGTTTGTTTTTTTGTTTTTTTTTTTTTTTTTTTTTTTTGTCTTAGGACATTGTTGATAAAGCTGATACTTTTCCTCAAGTTCTGCAGAATGTTGTAGAGTGGATGAGACAACGAGAACTGGGAACAAAGTATAGCTATTCCATGTTGACGGACGGGTATGTCTTCATGCTACCTTCAGCACAATCTAAAACTGCAAAAACCGTGTTTCATATTTGTGAGAGCATTGCTAAAGATGGATCAGAATGGTGCTGCCATTTTTCTGGTTTTATTTTAATTGAAGCTTTCAGGAAAATCAGGAAAGCTGAACTGAACAAATGAAACTTAAATCCATCAGATGGCGCCATTTCTTTCCAAGTGTTMTGTAGCAACAAAGTGATGCTGAGCAGACTTCTGGTTGAACAGATTTTGTTGCTGCTGTGATTCTCCATTTATATCTAGCACATAATACCTGAACATAACACTGCAGTTTCAGTTCTAGGCAGCTTCTGTGCCGTTCTGAATCTGAGAATTCAGAGGTGTGTGGTGGTTGTGCTGTGGTATCCTGTGTCTATTGGTGTTACTGTTAATACACTGGATATTTTGCTGGGGAACAATAACAGATTATTAGCAAGGAGAAATGGCTAGCGCAGGAGCCTCTCTGCTTTGGCTTAGAGGACTGTGGCTCTGGTGGGTCCCACCTCTGACAAGCTGTGTGTGTTCCATTAATCCCTGGAACTGCCACTTATACTTGCTCTCTCACACGGTCTGTGTGGAAAATCAAGTTCCCTAATGACTGCAAGGGGAACAGATCTTGAGATCTAGATACATTTGTGTTGCAATATTCTTGTAATCTTAGCTTTACTATATATATTTGAGCCTTATTTTATATAGCACTGGCTAGAGCATTTTTTTTCCAGGTGCCGCTTGCCTTTTAGCTGTCAAACATTATTATTCTGTTAATGTATCTGCTTTACTCCTTCACTTGGAATGAAGGATTTAAGTAGGACAATCAGTTTTTAGCATTAGCTGTGTKGAGGTAAATGATGCATTTTCATATTTGCCTGCAGCAGATTTTCTGCTGTGCTGGATTAAAAAGAGAGTTCTGTACTGCTCTGATGGCTCTGTTGAACCAGAGTGAGATGAACCCTGAAACAAAAATGGAGTTTATGAAAAAACAGCGTGTGGAATCTTAGTATAATTTCCTAGCACTTCTGTCAAGTAAAGCACAGATAAATATTCTAGTCTGTAGTATGAGTAGTTTGAAAAATAATGTATCAGAGTAGATTAATAGATACGTAGTGGTTTTTGACTAACCCGACTTAAATAAGTGAGAATGGTTTTGGCCATGAGACCTTTTTCTCAAAATTCCTGAAGTTTGAGACAATTACTATAGGTCACAAGTCTTTTCTGGTGAAGAACCAATATCACTAAAATAYTGTATTCAGAGTAAGCCAAAAAGGTGTCATGCAAGACTTGCGGTGTACAGTATAGATCCATGTACACCTTAAAAATAATGAGTTAATATAATGACATTCCAACCTTAATTAATTTAAGGGGTTATGGTAAATGGTTCTATTTAACAGAGTTTTAACCTGTAATTACATCGCTATCTTTGGAAGCGACAGTGAATTAAAAAAAGAAAATGCTAAAGCAAGACTGGTTATGTTATTGGGCCTGAGTGACTGTGGAATTTCCCTCCAGAGAATCCCCTCAGTGATATTCMTTAAGGAAAAGAGGTGCACTGAAATCTCTGTTGCATAGGTGAGATTGYATAGACAGCTACAAGAGATGGGGAAAAACAGCTTTACTTTAACTTGCAGCTTACAAACTTGTTGGGGTGGTTCCCTTCAGGAAGGCACGCTGCTAAATAAGTAGGATTATAATTTCTTCATATTTTCATAGAGATCTGGTTTCTCATAAAACTAGGTGCAGTGTAGTTTCAATAGCCTACCTGAAGCAGAGAGATGCATGCATACCCAAATAATCAGGAAGATTTAAGGTGTCGCTTCCCTTGAGGGCTGTGCAAGCACCTCATTTATTGGCAGTTTCCAGTATTGATGTGGTAGGTGGGGTATTTGGTGTGGTATTTTTTGTTTTAACTGTTGCGGACCTGAGACCATCCTAGTGAAAGTCTTGTTCACATCATTTTTTTTTCCCCATGATTAACAAATTAATATTAAAAATATCTTTACCATGATTGTAGCAAAAGAGCTTTTCCTAAACTGTTTTCTTTCTACTGATGACCAGACACAAGACAGCTTTTAGTTCTACAAATGTGAATTACATAGAACACATGATKAGACATTATTAATGTTTTCCTCTTTTGATTTTTTAAGATCTTGGGATATGAGTAAATTTTTGAACATCCAGTGCCGTCTTAGCCGCATCAAATACCCTTCTTTTGCCAAAAAGTGGATCAATATTCGCAAATCATATGGGAACTTCTACAAGGTTTGTACAAATTGCTTGTTTCTTTTATAGAAAATTTTGGTTTAATAGTCTGGAATGTCTGTTGTGCTTGTCATCTCTACTTGTGTAGTATTAAATTCTAGTACTTAGACKAGTTGCCTGGTGCCTGATTTTCAAATGTGTTTAAGGCGCAGATCTCAGTTCACTAATTGATGATCATATAATCTACTGGTTTTTAAGAGTCAGATTGTGCTCCTTAARGGATTGTCTAAAAATGTTATACCGGTCCTCTTAGATTGAGTGCATCTTTAAGTAGTTCAGCTGAAAAGACTGYATTGATTTTTCAATTATTTTTTCCTGTGTTCATGCAATACASTACAAAACTATTTTGCACCACTACCCTCATATAATCTTGACTTTTGACAGTGTAGTGGGGACAGAGAAAGATTAGGATGTATCTACAGTGGAATCAAATTGTCAAGAGAAAAGTAATACCAGGTTCAGTGCTGGACCTTATTGCTGCGTTYGGTCAGACAACCATAAAATGAGTTACTGGAGTTACTAGCAAATTCCCAATCACCTTACACTAAAATACTTTTTCTGAATGTGATTTCAGCTTAGCTAATGATCTTTTGAAGGGCTTTTTCATACTAAATGTAACCTAGATAGAAGAGAGATTGAGATTTAATAAGGGGAGAGCTTTACTTTGCACTGGGAAAATRTTACAGGGTTGCTGTAGGTGTTGCTGCTCAGATCGTGTGGTGATTGAAGGCATKCAGGAGCTTGATGTCAGTGAGAATCRGGAGCCTGGTGCTTCTTTAATCACWTAGAATTTGAAAGGACCACCAAAATCTGATTTCCTCTGCAATGCCACTGTGGGTGGTAATTTGTTTTTCATAGAGATTGTTATACCTATCTAGCTCCTGACTTCCACCCTTGCCAGCACAGGCGTATCTTGAGCTGGTGCTGGTAGGAGGCTCTTGACATCATCCGGGGTCTAGACAAACTCCTGTTGACTGTGTCTCCTCTGTAAAAATGAGAGTGTCTGTCTCACCAAGGTGCTTTGAAGTTAAATGGTTAGTGATCTGGCAGAAGGCAACATGAAAGTCATWTGTGACTTAAGTAGACTTAAAATCTGCATGTGTTTCTACTGCCCTGTGTTAGATTAAAAAGACTTGGTACACAACCTAATCCTTGAATTTTACTCACTTTCTCYATCAGGTTCCTAGGAACCAGACCAAGCTGACAATCATGCTTGAAAAGTTGGGYATGAATTATGACGGGAGACCTCACAGTGGACTTGATGACTCTAAAAACATTGCAAGGATAGCTATAAGGATGCTGCAGGATGGCTGTGACCTGCGGGTGAATGAGAGAATTCACGGTGGACAGCTGATGACAGTCTCCTCCTCAGCCCCCTTAGAGGGAGCCCCTGCTCCACAGATGCCCCGCTACAGAAACTAGCAGCTCAGGGCTCTGCCAATGGAACTGCCCTCAGATACCCGCTAAAGACTCCAGAGCTTATTAAATGGCCACCTCTGCCAGCTTGTCTGCCGTGCAGAATCCTAAAGCACCTTAACTACTCATCTCTGTTGAAATAAAGAGGAGTGTGGAAGCTCTTTGCTCTTTGAAGCCTGTTACAGTAATTTCTTTTTGTACTGATGACTTCTGTTGTTGTTTCCAACTTTGCTAGCAGTGAAGCTAATTTCTGGAATCCAGATAATGTGTTAAGTTTTTAAGAACGTGTGATTTAAAGACCTGCTAAGGGGGATTGGGCCTGTGTGCTGCTGTTCCACCCCAGCCTGTGGGCAGTACTTATTCACAGTACTTGTGATGTACTCCAATCATATCTAACATCTGCTTATTCATTGCACACAAATAAGTCATTCCTGGAAGAACTGAAAGAGTGAGTGGTCGGGCTGGCCTTTCCTGATAAGGCACTCTTCTAAGGGTTCCTGCTAATTTTTTTGTTTTTTGCAAACTCTAGGAGAAATGGGTGCATATTCATCAGTTCTAAAAGAGTAGAGGAGTACTCTGTTGTTTGGAGTTTTTCTTTGAGGGATATGTTTGTCTGCTTCCCCATCAAATGGAAGAGCTTGGTGTCAAATAAAAATGTCATTAATGTAGTATGATAGTATTTTTTAACATGTGTTTCAAAATAGAAGGTTCTTCAGATTTTCATTCCTGCATAGCTGCCCTTCATTTAATGTTTTTAGACACTCTCAGCCATTTGGGTTTAAAAATGAGTGAAGTAAAACTAAGTTYAAAACATGCCAGGTTGTCAAAATTTCATGCTCTGTGACTATACATAGAACAGGAAGCTTCTCATTCATGGCTAAAGACATGCTCAGCTRTTTTTGGTATCTTCTTATGCTTCTGCCACCATGAAGCTATGCCTTTATTTCAAAATCTAATGATTAAAATCTAATGATTAATCTAATGATTAACATCATTATTAATGGCCACAGCTAATGACTAACAACTTCTGCTTTCTCCCCAAGCCTGAGATGATATTCAAAAGAGGCCAAAATGTTAATTTGCCTTGTCTGTGTGGACTATTACAAAGTGCATCATGAATGTGGTCAACTTTGCATTAGAGTRGCTTATTCTGAAAAGTGGAATAATGTATTTTGGTGCTCTTACTTGAAAAAAAATTGCTATTCTTGTATTACAATTCACCCTTTTTACCACTTATATTCAKGACACAAAATAGCCAATTAATAAAGCTTTGTTAAGAACATTGACTGACTAATCAAACTCTTCCCCATCCCACTTTGCTTTTCTGACTGCTATACTGCATCAATGGAACTGTGAAAACTTCCATTGTAAATTCACGGAAGAGGGAGAAGTAATAGTCAATTCTCAGTTGCTTCATATGTTTTTTTCCCTGAGTCACAGATTTGGATGGTCATARCTGGTTTAGACTGATGTTCTTTTTTTGTTTGGTTTTCTTCCTGATAGCAGATACTTGTTCTCTTACAGTGTTTTGTTGAACTTTACAGTTTGTTTTGGAGCTACACTTGATGGATTTTCAGAATCCAAATCTGATATTCTTACTCCAAAAATACCATTTMTCTCTCAGCCTATATTTTGTACAAATTCTTATATACATGGTTTTCACTGTAGCGGCTATACTATCCACTTTTTCTGAAGTACCAAGGTAATTTACATTTTTTGTGTCTGAGTTACAGTTGCRCAGGTTTCTATGATGAAATTGAGTCTAGTTCAGCAGATATCCCTTGGGCATGCTGGCAGCCAGAGACTTTATCWCTAGCCTTTATTTACAGTTGAATGAGAAACTTTCATTTGTTACAGATTATACTACAGGTTGCCTAAGAGCTGTTGTAATTGTACATCATTTATTTTAAGTACAGAGTTGTTTATTTTTGCTAAGTAACTTCAAAAAGGTATTTTGAGATAAGGGTTAAATAATARTTGTTTTCTGTTTACTGCTTGTGTAGGTTGGGATGCTTTCTATCAGTGAGCTGCAGAAATCAGTAGAATCACTCCAGATACTATTTTACCTGTTGGATTAATGTCAAACTGTGAGCTGTATTTTCACAGAATATTGGATTCTGTGATTTTTGAGATGGAGTGAATTTTAACAATGTTTGCTGATTTGCTTGAAATGTAAACAAACTTATTAAAATAATTTCATACTTTTAAACATGTCAGGTACTGAGTTTGGTCTATAAAGCATGAGATAACTTCAGTATTCTTGGGGGGTCTTGGTGTCAGCGCAGCTCATGGTTAGTCTTTTCTAGTGGACCAGCAACACTGCATGGCTGGGTGGCTTAAATCCCATGCATGTTACTAGTTCACAGCACTAAGAAATAGGATGAATTTTCCCTGGGTGCTTTCTATCACAGGGGAAGGAGGCTCTAGAGGGGAAAAAAAAAAAGTGCTATGGTGATTTTACTAGTGGTACTCATATTTGGCCAAACAGATTGTTTTTTACATAGTGTTAATTAATTTTTCAGCATGGAAAGACTCCTCTAATAAATTAAAATATTCATTACAGCAGATGTACTCAGCAAGCTTCTCTAGATGAACAAATGAGATCAACCTGAAAAAACAATCTCCTTTTTATGCAGAAAAAATGCACACAGACATTGATTGCCTTGTTGGTAGAGTAAGAGGCTTTGTTTTGTTGTTGCTTTTTATTTCACATTTCAGGAGCCATAGTTAAGCAATTCTACTGCAGATAGCCTTTGTGGAACAGTAGCAACTTTAAACAAAGGGATTGCAGACTAATTTCAACATGAGTGCTTTCAAATAAATTTCTTAATATATATTTATATGAATGTGAGAGGGATTCACAGAATCTTGGGGTTATGTAAGGGAAAACGGTTTCTCAGACAGGTTAGAGAGCAATAACCTCTCTGTCTCAGTGAGCAAATGCCTGAGCAAATGGGAAGGACAGGTCACAACAGTTTGTAACTTCCCATTAACTCCTTGTGAGGTGCAGCTACAGGGGCCACTCTCTGCAGGTCAGCTGTCCACAGAAACTGCTTTTGTCTGTGCTTGTCTGATAGTAAGGTAATTGAATAATTTGGTCTAACAAGGGATTTCTTGTTTCCATATTTTGTTGGAAATTAACATTGCAGTGAGGAGGGGGCTGTTCTCAGCAGTGGAAGTAACTGAAAACCTCAGTTTACMTGAAGTTCTCATGGCCTTGGAGAGCTCTCGGTGTTTGACTGCAGGCCTTGACTGTTTTTGATGATCCTGCGAAATTGTTTTTTCACTCATTTCTCTCACCCTACYCTTCTCATGGCTGTTTTTAATTCCTCCTTTATCTTCCACTAATGAATGTTTGCCTCCTCTGGAAAAAAGTTTGTGCTAGGTAAGATCTTTGTTCTTTCTAATAACAACTGACAGGCCCTTTATAAGGAAACAGAAAGTCTTACCTGTGGAGGATAGAGGAGACCCAGTTACTGAGTGCAGATTTTGCAGTGTGCTAAATGTATAGAACATCACTGTGTCGCAGCCAAGTCCATTGCAGCCTCCTCTCAAGCACTTCATATCTGGCAGCCCGATGGGGCAGCAGTGACAGCTCACCAGGAGGATTTCCCAGATGGAGATACACGAGGTAGCCAGGTCAGCACATGCTTCTGCTCTGCCTTGTGCTGAGCTGTGGCCTCAGCTGAACAGCCATGGTAGGGCTAACCCTTCTAAAGGGGCTGGAAGGGCTAACCCTTCTAGAACACCTTCCTCCAGTGGAGAACGGGGTGCTAATCTGCAAGGATGGACACTGACAAGGCTTTGGAGATGCAGCAGTTGCTTCTCTCTTGAGTTCCTTCTAGCTCAGTCCTTTCTCAGCCTCCAATGCTGACTGGCTTTTGCCCTTTTTAAGTTGGAGGACTTGGTGCTGTGGGAGGAAAACATGAAGCAGCTTAAGGGATGTGCTTTTTAAACTGAAGGAGCGTAACTGCTTTGCACTAAGTGGCTCCATATGGCAAAAAGTCTTTTTCAAGTGAATGACAAGAGCCTTGAACACTTCTTTATGGCAGAGGTGACCTCTGGGTGTGTTCTGATYGGGGATGTGATTCCATGGCTCAGGCATCTGTCTCTGTGGCCGCTCAGTTCAGGAGTGCCMAWTGGTAGCACCATGTCTTGCTCCTGYGATCTTARCTTGGTGTGGTCATGACAGCACATCTTAATTGTAAATCTTGTGATGCTGCTTGCAGATATATTGTGGTGGGGTTTCTGCCTACTTTCCTGGCTAAAACAGTGCTAATTATGAGGCTTTGCTGTTTGAAGTGAATGGTAGTAGTGGTCTTGCATTGGTAAAGTACTTGCAGGTGATTCTGACCTCCTTTATGTTCCCTGTTGCAGTGATGTTAATTTTTAAAGAGCACATGTAGCCAAATGGATCTCTGTGAGCCAGAGATGTCCCAATAAGCAGGAATTGCTTCATTGTGGTTGTGTTCAGGTTTGGAGTGGTATGCAGGACCTGGGCTGCAGGCAGGCTGTGAAGCATGACACACCTTCCCAGAGACTTCCATGCTGAGCAAARTTTATTTCATATTAATTCCTAGCTTTAATTGATAAGTAGCTGAATACTTATGCTCTGTGCAGCATCAAAATGCTTGATATGTAATTTAGACACAGGTGCAGCAGCCAGCTGTGAGATTCAGTGTRCCTCCTTTTCTCTCTTGAAAACACTCCTATGTTTGTCATTCATTTCCATTTGTGCATATATGGATTGAGATGATAGAGARCTAAAAAGAAGGGAGAAGTGACATTTTACTAGTTGATCTAGGCAGTCTAGGCCAGATATTATCTGTCCATGTAGTTAGTGTTTGATGATGCTGAACTTTGACAACAGGCTCTTTGGGATGCCATGAACCATGTGCAGAGAGGGTGACCGACAGCTACTGTGCTGAGCTTGGCTGTATTTAAGCACAATCTGGGTCACCACTCTTGGCAATCTTCAGCAAACAGGCAGACCTGAAGATAAGGAGCATTTATTTGAGCTGAGAAGCCAGGGAGGGGCATAGCTGAAAAAGAAATCAGGCTTGCCACATTGGAGGGAATTGTGGTGGTGCCTGCAAAGCCTGTCTGTTGGTGTGCTGCAGATCTGTGGGAGAAG